AGCAGCAAATCGGCATCATTTCCAATGAGGGTTGGATGCCGCTAGAACCTTGATGGACAGAATTTTTCGGCATAGCCGAGTCGTTCAGTATGTCCGATTTGGTGGCCTCAGTATTGCATCCCTGCTTATTGCAGATGATGTGGTGCTGTAGTCTTCTTTAAGCCGGGATCTACAACTCTCACTGGAACAGTTCGCAGCCGTGTGTGAAGCAGTTGGGATGAAAATCAGCACCTCCAAATCCTCAGTTGGAAAAGGATGGCGTGCTCAGGGATAGGATCTTACCCCAAGGGTCTTGTTCACGAATGAGGGCAGGATGACAGTGTCTGTTGTGATGCGGCCATTGTATTGGTCTGACGTGGTGAAGAAGGAGTTGAGCCAAAAGGTCAGTCTCTTGATTTACTGGTCGATCTACATTCCCACCCTCACCTCTGGTCACAAGCTAAGTACCGTGACCAAAAAAAACGAGATCCCAGGTACAAGCGGCTGAAATGAGTTTCGTTCACAGGGTGTCCGGGTTCTCCCTTAGAGATAAGGTGATGAGAAGCTTGGTCATTCGCTGGGGGCTTGGCGAATGACCGCTTTTCCTCCACGTCAAGAGGAGCAATCTGATTAGGATGCCTCCTGGACGCCTCCCTGGTGAGGTGTTCTGGACATGACTTATCAGCAGGAGGATCCGGGGACAACACACGACACGCAGGAGAGACTATGTCTCCTGACCGGCCTAGGAAGGCCTTGGGATACCCTGGGACAAGCTGGAACAAGTGCCTGGGGAGAAGGAAGTCTGAGCTTCACTGCAAAAACTGTGGCCCCTGCGATTCGACCTTGTATAAGCGGTAGAAAATGGATGGATGGATGCATGGTTCAGCGTTGTAAACGATTGTTTATTGAATGTACTGTAATTTTATGACTTTGGCGACAGACGAATGGCTCTGTCTTGCTCGTCAAAACCAGGAAATGGGTGTGTGGAAGAGTTCCTTGCTGCATTGCTATTGGCCAATCAGACATGACACAGCCCCACTTTGACCCAGACAGCCAACCTTTAGAACTACCTCCGAGATGGTTCTGAAAAACTCAAATGGTACATTCAGACTGAATGCGGGCTGAGTGTTTCTAGCGGTGCTTTTCCATAGATAGACAATGGAGTTTGCATTATCGGCATGGTTGCATGCTCGGCAGCACATTTAAAGCATTTGAAACAAAAACTACAACTTTGCCAATTTTCTTGGGGTAGGCTTAAGTGAACCTTTGGTGGCGGCGACAGTCAACCGGCGTGGAGAACGTACTATGTCACATGCATGCCCAGAACAGGCAGACACAGAGCCAAATTAACTTTAAAACACACACTGCTTGGTAAAATAAAAACAATGTGGGACAGTATCATTAGGGTCTGGGGAACAGGGAGGTACGCAAAGAAGCCGGCTTCCTTTCCCGGCCAGAACCGAGACAAATAAGGAGCAGACTTGAAAGTTGGAGTATCTTGTGAGTCGACCGAATTATTTACAGCTGTTGAACTGTCAACCATGATTTCATTTAGCAGCCAACAGAAACACCATTCATCAGATTGACTTTGGATATTAAAACATTAGGGGTTTTTTTCTGTCAGAGGAAGAGCCCCTTCTCATGTCCGTTCAAAGCAACCACGGTGTAGTTGCACCCCTGCGAACAAACACATGCGAGACTCACGTTTGGTCTGAACGTCGCATAACGGAAAAGCGACCACTCGGGGCAAAACTAGGTCGTCTTGGTGAGCTAGTTTTGCAATGGAAAAGTGCCTTCCATTTGTGTTGAGCAGCAGACACACAGTTCACTGGTGTCTTACTATAAGTTTATTTTTCTCTTAGTGATTAAAGCAATCTTTTCAAAGAATGGACAGACTCAGGTGGATTTCTAATAACCTGGATAATTTACACTAGACGCACTTCAGCAATGACTCAGAGCAAACTGCATCAAGTGCCAGTTTGTACCATTTGTGTACCTTTTCTAAACAGTGCTTATTTGTACATTGGGGTTCAATGGTGAACCCTGTAGTGTATATTATAAAACATGAACAAAAAGTTGCACCTTTGAGTACATAAATAGACCTCCAACTGTGCATTATTTTCACAGTGTAGTAACACACATCACCAAGCCAATGAGAGACACTAAGAATAACAGCAAATGTTTTCTTTGGTGGTGTGATGCCATTTTTATTTATTGTGGAGGTGAGGAAAAACACAAATCGGACACAATGGAACAAAACTGTTGGGAAGTGTTTAGTTTTGAGAGAACCCACTCTTTGCATATATTAATGATGTATAGCAATGATGAGAACATTCTTGTCCATCTATTTTCTAATCCGCTTATCCTCACGAGGGTCTCGGGCATGCTAGAGCCTATCCCAGCTGTCTTCGGACAGTAGGCAGGGTACCCTGAACTGGTTGCCAGCCAATCGCAGACCACACATAGATGAACCCGGAGAAAACCCACACAGGCATGGAGAGAACATGCAAACTCCACTCCTCTGCACTGTGAGCAGGATGTGCTAACCAGTCGACCACTGTGCCGCCACATTCTTGTTCATTCATTCAATTCTAAAGATGTGTCAGACATATCAATCAATTCTATTAAGTGTTTGTATCTATCATTAGGGGAAGAAAACAAATTATCTTTGCTGATCACAGTGTACTTTATTATATCTGATAAGCTCATAGAACCACATGCATAGCCATGCAAGAGAGGAACACGAAGACAATTATAATAACAGCTACTTCCTTAGGTGGGGTTGGTCCATGTTGAGATGGGAAGAATGCAAAATGATCAGAGTGGAATTGAACAGAGTTGGGCAGTGGGAAGATTTTAGAGAATATAATCATATTTGTACCTATATTACTGAGTCATAGTCATGTGAACATCCATGTGCATTCATTCACTTCTCAGGATGTTACGTCTCATAAGTTGTTTAAATATCCCTGTGAATTGTTTCACCCTTTAATCCTTCTTTGTGACAGCTCAAAAGCAATTTTCAACTCATGTTCCTCAAATCTTCATGGATTGTGATTCAATACAATGCAACCAAATATAAGATAAGATGAGATAAGAAATCCTTTTTTAGCAATGGAGAAATTCCCAATTCACAGCAGCAAAGTTATGAAAGGAAGAAGTAGAAGAACAAAATATACGAGCTGCTGGAAAGGCAGCCACTCTTGCGGCGCCATATGCTTGACGTCAAAGACTGAAAATGCATTTCATCACTTACATTTCTAAAATCAGCTTTTCTGCCAGTAACACTTGATAAATGTACTGTAACGGGTTTTGTTCAGACAAAAAAACAGACTACATTTCAATTTGATGGACAATTAACTTGTATGGGTGACCCATCCCTCTATTAGTCCCTTAATTTGTGGTTCCACCACACATTCGTTCTATAGCTTCTATAGCAAAGTCATTATTGTTCCTCAGAGTTCACTTTGTTCTGTTAGTTAAGGATCATCCACGAATGTCAAAATTAGTTCACTACATTAGTGATGGGTTTTTCAATTCTGTGCTATTGATGTACAGGTATGAGTTTCCATCGTTCAATTTATAACTATTAATTACAGTATTTATTATTTAAGCATTGTTATTTATTTATTTATTTTCCTTTTCTGTCAGGAAATTTGAGTTGATGAATGAGCCTGGTTACCAAAGGTAAAGTTCATTTCACAAGGTAAAATGCCATTTTGTTAATTCCTATTCCTTTTCAATATTAACTTGTGTATTCATTATTGACAGCTCTGATTTCACCCCTTTGAATATAATGGTGGCTTGTCTGAAGTTCAAGAAAAGTTCAAGTGTGACTTTGGGGGTTTACTCAACTCAACTCAACTCAACTGTATTTATCGAGCACTTTCAAACAGCCATCGCTGCATACAAAGTGCTGTATATGGAGCAATTTAACATATACAACAAACAGTAAAACAAATCGGTAATAAAGACAGTAGAAAGTACTGAACAGCAAAACCAAGAATAAATCTAAGTCATGCTGAGTCGAATGCCAAAGAATACAAGTGAGTTTTGAGGCGGGTTTTGAAGATGGGCAGCGAGGAGGCTTGCTGAATGTTCAGTGGGAGGTCATTCCAGAGAGAGGAATGACTGTTAAATATTCTTCATAATGAGTAATGTAATTTGTTATCACTAATGTCATGAGCAAAATGCATCAAAGTATCGGCCGCAAAAAAATAAATAAATAAAAAAACAACTCAATAAAAATCTGTCTGGTTTCGCCCATCGCTAAGTACATGGTGTACATTTACAGAGAAGTAAATCAAAACCAACACCCATAGCCTAGATGCTATACATACAACATGCAACACTGGACATTCATCAGAGACTACACAATTTTTCAATGGGCGAAGAAGGTTGACACGACGACTCACTAAGGGGTGGTGATATGACGACACCCACGTTTTACACAGGACACACAAGCTACATAGGCAATAAATAGCTAAACATCATGTTTTGGGGATGTGGGAGGAAGTTGGAGAACCCAGAGAAAGCACATGCAACCATTGTAAATAACAAATCTGGATAAAGGTGAAATAAGTTTGCACATGGGGTACATGCAAACTCCACACAGACGCATTGAGTTGCGATTTGAACCTCTCGAGCGTGAGGCCAACATGCTCCACTGTCTTGCAAAATCATTTCTTTTTTTTTTCAAGGAGAGAAAACAGTTGTTTCACCTGAAACTAGTAATAGCGTGTTTATACTGTTTTTCCTTTATGACATTTCTTTTCTGCAACATTAAGTTAATAGCCTAAGTCACAGGTGTCAAACTCATGGGGGCCAGATCCGGCCCGCGACGTCATTTGGCCAATCAAAGCAAATCATGTGTATCAACTTCTATGTTTGACTTGACTGATTTCAAAACAAGTAATCCATCCATTTTTATACGATAAGACAATTAACCCTTCCAGGGACAGCAGTTACTACAGTCGACAGCTTACCATGTTTTCAGGTTACAGAGTGCATGAAAAGATGAAACTTTTTTTTTTGTTTCACTGTCATAGCTGTCCTCCAAGGGAAGATATAACTCCAAAGTGGGCCGTGACAAAAATGAGTTTGACACCCCTGGCGGAAGGCATCAAAATGGGCATTGCTCGCTTGCCTAGTCGTCATTGAATGGACTCCTGCAGGAGTTCAAAGGTCAGCTGTGTGATGTGTCTCCATGCTTCCCGGATGTGATGAGACTCAGTGGTGCGTGAGCAGATGGCAAAGCGCAGGACAAAGCGTCCAGTCAGATGACAAGGCACCAAGTGGATCTCTCTCCTCTTTGTGATCCTCTTCAGCAGATTCTGGTTCAGCTCATTGGAGCCCTTTGAGTGGTGAAAAACAAAACAACTGATGTGACTGATCGCAATGGCTCACATGGCATTGAAGTCACTTAACTTTGCAGGTGATCACATGCTCAATGTACAATTTAATCACTTGTGTTTTTTCATTGGCAGGGTGCTGCAGTACATCCAGGTCTTTCTCAAAAAATTAGCATATTGTGATGATGTTCATTATTTTCTGTAATGTACTGATGCACCTGAGACTTACAAACAGTATATTTTAGATTCATTACACACAAATGAAGTAGTTCAAGCCTTATATTGTTTTAAGATTGATGATTTTGGCAAAAAAATGAAGGAAAAAAACAAAAATCCCTATCTAAAAAAAAAAAAATTGTATATTTCATCCATCCCATCCATCTTCTACCGCTTATCCAGGGTCGGGTCGCGGGAGCAGCAGCTTTAGCAGGGAAGCCCAGACTTCCCTCTCCCCAGCCACTTCTTCCAGCTCTCCCCGGGGGATCACGACGCATTCCCAGGCCAGCTGGGTGACATAGTCTTTCCAGTATGTCCTGGGTCGTCCCCGGGGTCTCCTCCCGGTGGGACTTGCCTGGAACACCTCACCAGGGAGGCCTTCAGGAGGCATCCTAATCAGATGCCCGAGCCACCTCATATGGCTCCTCTCGATGTGGAGGAGAAGCGATTCAACTCTGAGCCCCTCCCGGATGACCGAGCTTCTCACCTTATCTCTAAGCGAGAGCCTGGACACCCTGCGGAGAAAACTCCTTTCAGCTGCTTGTATCCGGGATCTCGTTCTTTCGGTCACGACCTATAGCTCGTGATCATAGATGAGGGTCCAAGGTGAGGGGCCAGACAAAGCATGGATCAAAAGATCCCTCATGATGAGCAAAACAAATGGACTTCAGTTTCCCTTCCCTGGACGTGGGTCACCGGAGCCTCCCTCTGGAGCCAGGCCTGGAGGTGGGGCTCGTTGGCAAGCGCCTGGTGGCCGGGCCTACACCCATGGGGCCCGGCCGGGCTCAGCCCGAAAAGACAACGTGGGTCCCCTTTCCATGGATGAGATTGGTTAGTGATGAAAAAATCTGAGAATCAGCCGGGGGTGTGGGGACTGCAGGGGCAATGCCCCGGATGGGGGCATTTCATGAAATCTGACACAAGCACAATCGTTCCTCTTTACTGGTTTCTACTGGGGACACCGTCAGCTTTCTAACCAACCAGTCCCATTGAAATTTGTTTTTCAGATCCGCAACTATCTGACGCACGTTAGTTTCGTCATGAGTCTCGATAACATTCAGCATTTGTTTAATAGAGGCTACATACACGAGTAATTTCAATACACTACATCCCTTGTGCAAAACCAATCAGAATTCGCGGAAAAGGGGTTTCGGAAGGCGAACACGCATTGGTTGTGATTCTGCATTTGCCAATATAGCGACAAATCACAACAAGTAAGACATTGGTTTTAGCCCATTTACGAAGTAACGACAAACTAACGCTTTGCAAGGAAAAACGGTATTCAAAATGGATGCTTGCAAACTTTATTTGTAAACATTACGAGTCCCAAGTCTGCCGAAGACAAGTACGTCCGGCAGCCCAGAAATAACACCAGACCCTACCCACATACCTCTACAATTTTCTCAATGGATTTGGAACAATATAAAAAAGGTCAATTTTGACTGAAAAAAAGCGGAATTACGCCAAAAAGCTGAAAAATCTCTTCTTTGCCCTTCTCATGGTCTCACCACCCATGGGAGGTGCCAAAGGGGTCGGGTGCAGTGTGAGCTGGGCGGCAGCCAAAGGCGGGGGCCCTGGCGGTCCGATCCTTGGCTACAGAAGCTAGCTCTAGGGACATGGAATGTCACCTTTCTTGCAGGGAAGTAGCCCAAGCTGGTGTCTGAGGTAGAGATGTTCCGACTTGATGTAGTCGGACTTGCCTCCACACACAGCCTGGATTCTGGTACCAGGGATTGCACTCTCTTGCACTCTGGAGTTGCTCACGGTGAGAGGAACAGAGCAGGTGTGGGCATGCTCACATCCCCCCGGCTCAGTGTCTGTACATTGGGGTTCACACCGGTAGACGAGAGGGTTGCCTCCCTCCGCCTTCGGGTAGGGGGACGGGTCCTGGCTGTTGTTTGTGCGTACGCACCCAACAGCAGCTCAGCGTACCCACCCTTTTTGGAGTCCTTGGAGGGTGTGCTGGAGAGTACTCCTTCTGGGGACTCCCTTGTTCTGCAGGGGGACTTCAATGCTCACGTGGGCAAATGACTGGAAGGGCGTGATTGAGAGGAACCCCCCCCCCCCCCCCGATGAGAACTCGAGTAGTGTTTTGTTATTGGACTTCTGTGCTCGTCACAGATTGTCCATAACGAACATTTTGTTCAAACATAAGGGCGTCCATATGTGCACTTGGCACCAGGACGCCTTGGCCGCAGTTAGATCATTGACTTTGTGGTTGTATCATCAGATTTGCGGCCGCATGTTTTGGATACTCGGGTGAAGAGAGGGGCGGAGCTGTCAACTGATCACCACCTAGTGGGGAGTAGGCTCTGATGGTGGGGGAAGATGCCAGTCCGACCTGACAGACCCAAACGTATTGTGAGGGTTTGTTCGGAGCGTCTGGCAGAATCCCCTGTTAGAAGGAGTGTCAACTCCCACCTCCGGCAGAGCTTTTCCCATGTCCCGAGGGAGACGGGGGACATGTTCCGTGCCTCTATTGTTGAGGTGGCCAATCTGAGCTGTGGCCGTAAGGTGGTTGGTGCCTGTTGTGGTGGCAACCCCCGTACTCGCTGGTGGACACCAGCAGTAAGGGATGCCGTCAAGCTGAAGGAGTCCTATCGGGCCTTTATGGCCTGTGGGACCCCAGAGTCAGCTGACGGGTATCGATTGGCTAAGCGGAACGCAGCTTCAGTGGTCGCCGAGGCAAAAACTCGGGCATGGGAAGAGTTCGGTGAGGCCATGGAAGCCGACTTCCGGATGGGTTCAAGGAAATTCTGGTCCACCATCCGATGGTTCAGGAGGGGGAAGCAGTGCACCACAAACACTGTGTACAGTGGGGACGGGGTGCTGCTGACCTCGACTCGAGACGTAAGTCAGTGGGCACAGTACATCGAAGACCTCCTCAACTTCACCAGCACGCCGTCCTTGGAGGAAGCAGAGTCTGGGGACTCTGAGGTGGGCTCTCCTATCTCTGTTGTTGAAGTCACCGATGTGGTTAAAAAGCTCCTTGGTGGCAAGGCCCCAGGGGTGGATGAGATCCGCCCGGAGTTCCTCAAGGCTCTGGATGTTGTGGGGCTGTCCTGGTTGAAATGCCTCTGCAACATCGCGTGGTCATCAGGGAGAGTGCCTCTGGATTGGCAGACCGTGGTGGTAGTTCCTCTTTTTAAGAAGGGGGACCGGAGGGTGTGTTGCACATAC